GTCTGACGCGTCTGCCTCCGCGACCCGAAAGGAGAAGCGGCGATGGAAGATGAAGATGAAGATGAAAATGAATACACCGACAACGAATCTTCTAAACTGGAAGATAAAGGATGCGTTGGTAATGCCATCAAACCGATGCATGAAATGTAATGCCATTAAACCGATGACGATGCATGAAATCGTCGGTCGAAACTCAGTTTGCACTAGAAAGAATTTATGTATTAACTTTTTCTATCGAGACTGAAACTTCCATAGTGAAGTGTGTACCTAAGCACACAGACAAATACTGTAACGCTGTATCTGTAATACTTCGCTATACGTATATTGTAATATCGTTTATGTAATGCGTCGCGCCGTCAAAGAGGATCGAGCATGGTTGGAAACGTTTAAACAACTTGTACATAAGAAATTTGATTTGCATGTAACCCCCAAAGAACTATTCCAGCTGTGAAGGATTCGTTGCATATTTGCATAATTCTCTGTTAAGAGGCGATGTCGTATGCATAATTGAAGTCAGTGATGCGAACTACGGCTGGCCTACATGCTATCATTATCAGTGAGTGTCAAGCGTGGGATTCAACAGGTAGCAAAATCGAGAAAGGTTGCTGAGAGGGCACGAGCTTGCTGAGAGTGTATAAAATATCCCCTTCTCATTTCTACATCCGCAAGTCTTTGTTTTGTTCCTGCTGTAATATTTCATCACGTTATTACATTAAATTTATTGTTTTAATTCCTTTAATCTCCATAAAATTAGGCAAGCTCTGAGCAATGAACTGACGGAAAAGAAGTGACTGTGTATGAATTCGCTAAGGGAAATTATGAGCGACCCAAATTGCACAGAGGTCCTGCGAACTGGCCCGAGGCGGCCAGCAAACTAACGTCCTTTTTAAAATGCGAGCAATAGCCAGACATTCTGTTACGATCAGATGAACACAACAACAGATGTAATCATCGGTACAGAGCATGAAGGAATGTAAGAAACAAAAAAATTCGCTTAATTAACCGTAGTATCGAACTATTTGATCAGCAGGTTAACAAACAGTCACATGTACGAAACTATGAAAACGACAGTACGGGACTCAATTTATTAATCAAAAGACACCATTCCTTTTGGCACCGCATGGCAGTTAAAAAGGTACGGTGACTGTATCCAGGGAATCGATATTTCTCTAAAATGCAAGAAAATTTGCGAAAGAGACCTCATGGTATTCGAGGTGTGACTGGCGAAGCTAGGCAAACGATCCTTGATAAACGTAGTGCCGTTTCACACAAGAAAGACCAGGAGCTAGTTGAACTAGCGAACCAATAATAGTCAAATCTAGCTGAGAGCTTTCCAGGACATCTGACCTCAAAATTACGAAGCTTTTATGATCTGGAGTTGTTCGAAACCTGCCGGCACACATGTACCAACAACAAGGTGATGATCGGTTGATAGCTCTGCGCCTCTCTTAACACGAACGTCCATTATTGAGCGTTTTAGGTTAGAAGATACGATTATCAAATCGATCATCGACTTCTGTGCACAAGCTTCCCAGTACCAGGTGTACTGATGCACTTTTCGATGTTTGAAGGTGTTCATAATGGACAATCCGTTGTTTGCAGAAAACCGCAACAACTTCATGCCGTTATTGTTGAGTTCGCTAGGGCCGTTTTTCCTAATAACGCCGTTCCACTTTTCAGCGTCTGCTCCGACGTGCGCATTAAAATCGCCCATCAGTATGAGGGACTCTGTATTCGGTACTTCGGACAGAGCACACTGCACCTCTTCCAGGAAGATGTCGTATTCTCCCTCCAAACTGGGCGCATAGGTGTCAAGGTCAACGCTTTAGCCTACTATAGCTTCAGTCAGAGAATTATCACCCTTCCGCTGGCAGGCTTCCAATCGATAATTCCATCGGCAAGGTTTGGTTCTACCAGAACGCCAAAGCGGCCTGAACGCGAGTCGTAATATCGACGCCTGAGTAGAACAGCTTTAATCCG